ATCCGGCCCAAACTCTGCCACTGTCCCCACGAACAGATGTCTCACCAGGCGCTTCATTCGTGCCTGGCATTGGGCACCTGGCCATCTCGCCTGCATGCTTTACGGTTCACATCTCCAATCCTGAAGACTGCCCCATCAGGACCTGAAGCCACTGTGGGCGACAAAGACGCCATCCTGCCTCGGCCTGCAAGTGCACTGGCACACCTACACCTCCCTCCCCACTGTCCCTGGACCCTGCACCCAGCTTCCTACTAGGCCCACTCAAGCAGGATTGGCCCCTGCAGCAGGACCTTTGTACCTCTCCCAACGCTCAGGTGGCAGCTCCAGTGTCCCTTCTCCTGTGTTGGCTCCTGAGCCATCTCTTACCCATGCTCAGCTCTGGGGGTGCTGGGCTGGGGCTGCCCCAGCCGCTTTGGAGAAACTGAGGTGCATGTGTGTATGTGTGTGTGGGGGCTTACCGGAACGCATCGGTCCATCAGCTTCCTGGCTCAGCAAGGCTGAGGGTGCAGGGGCAGGAGGGTGACCCTCAGGACAGGGCTGTGTGTGGGGAGCCGTGTCAGGGACACCCCGACCCATGCTTGCCACAGCCTGGCCCCAGCCTGCCCTGGCCTCCGGCCTCACACCGTCCCGGCTCTGTCCTCTGGAGGGAGAGGGCTGGGCTTTGCTGCTTTGTTTTTTGAGACAGGTCTCTCTCTGTAGCCCAGGCTGGGCTCAAACTCAGGATGAACCTCCTGCCTCAGCCTCCAGGGTGCTGGCACGACAGCTGTGTGCCCCACATCCAGCCGTTGTCCGCTCCTTTTCAGCTGTTCTCTCTCCAGCTGCAGGATGGTCGCCAACACTGGGACAGAGCTCAGGGGACATCTGTCAGATGAAGGAACCGAGGAGTGCATGGGGCACTGACACAGCCTTGGGCTGGAGCAGTTTCCAGGGATGTTGATAACACTAGTTTTCATTTTATTTAATTTTCTGGCTACCTTTTATTTAATATGATAAAGGTACTGAGAGGTTTTTTTTTCCCACTTGCAGGCTTGATGTAAAATTTTCTTTTAAAATAAATGTACTTCATTTGAAGAGAGTATTTAAGGTCTAAAGTGCACTAAGCAGGGAGCAGGGGGATGAGGCCAGGCCCAGGTAGGCGGGAATGGAACGACTGGCTAGGCCGTGGCTGGACATCAGGCTTCCATTGGGCGGATGGGGAAACTGAGGCCCAGCAGGGCAGGTCAAGATCGTCACTGCTGATTCCCCTTTTATTTCCCATCCTGCTGCGTTCATCAGAGGGCGCTCTGTAGGCAGGGTGCCGGGCCGTGCTTCAGAAGGAACAGAAGACAATCGCTTTGTTTAGTTCTTGTGGTGCTGGGTGGACCTGGACCTCCGGCTGAGTACCCCCCCTTCAGCCTCCAACTTCCGGCTTCGGACTTCGGACCTCCTTGGGATGGCGCTGCGTCCCCTGAGCACGGTAGCCTGCAGATGATAGGAGCTCAGCACACCCTTCCAGGGCCGGCGCCAGGACAGCGTTCCTGGGAGACCTGGAAGCCCACATCCGGCCAGGAGAGCATGGGGCCCGAGCATGGGGTGCGGGGAGGAGGCAGGAACCCCGGTTGGGACACAGCAGGGGGTGAGGGGACTCGGGTGCCCTGGGGACCCGGGAGACCTCTGGCCTGGGGAGCAGGGGTCACACAGGAGGCACAACAGCACCTTCTTCTGGGCCTCAGGGCCCCGGGCTGCTCTAGCTTGAGGTAGGGCCCAGAGGAGGGAAGTGGGGGCGTCCTTGAAGCCAGGGGAGCCCCACTCTAGCAGAAGCCGTGGCTGGGACCCCCCGGCTGAGGAAAGCAGAGCCCAGTGTCTGGCTCCAGTCTTCTCCGCTCCTCCCGGGGGCTGGGGTCGCCTCCTCTGCTGAGCCAGACTTTGCCTGGGGTGAGTTGTGCCTGAGTGCAGCTGGCCTTGATCCTGAGCCTGTTTCCCCTTCTGCAGATGGGGAGGACGGCTCACCCCAGCGCATCTCACTGGGGCCTGAGTTCAAACAAGTCATCCCAGCTCTCAGGAGGCTGAGACAGGAGGGTCACCACGAGTTTGAGGCAAGCCTGGACTACATAGTGAGCCTAAATCCCTAGCCAGCTGGCGAAGGCAGAAGACAAGCCCAATCTCATTGACCTCTAGGGCTCAGGCCCGTTTCCCTGTCACCCAGGGCCCCCGTGCTCCGTAAAAGGGACAGCTGCAATGGCAGGTGAGCTGACTGCTCGCAGGCCGCCCCTCCCCCGCACGCGCCCGGCCTCTGCCGAGCTCCGCCTTCTAAGAGCGGGAGTCTGGAGGCCCTGGAGCCGAAGCACTGGGGCGCGGGGCGCGCAGAGGTGTGTTTTGAAATCTGCTTCCTTTTGGCTACGCTTGAACTTCCAAGCAGCGGAGTCTGACTGACAGGCAGGCAGACAGCGCCGCTCCCCGTGGGGCTGGGGCCGAGATGAGGGATGGGGGCTCGGCCTCCGGCTCCCCCCTCCTGTGCTCAGGCCGGCAAGGGGCTGGGCTGGGTCCTTGCGCCTGCTCAATGGAGGTCTGGAGTCAGCGACAGAAAAGCCCCGGAACCGCAGGCGGGGTTGTGCAGGAAGCACCTCGAGGGAAACTGGCCTCAGCGCGAGGTCACCGCGTCTCCACCAGTGTTATTCGTGGAACAGCGATGGAATGAGATGCGTTCAGCTCCACAAAAAGCTTCGTGTGCCGCACTCGCCTGGCGCATGCTCTGTATGCGTCAGCAAATAATGCAATTGTTGAGCCCCATTCTTGTTTGTTCTTTGAGACAGGACTGGAACTTGCAGTGATCCTCCTGCCTCGGCCTCCTGGGTGCTGAGATTACAGGCATGAGCCACCATTCCCAACTTTAGGGCCACTCCGGCCAAACTTCCTTTGCCTGGTTCCTCTGCCAGCTGCTTCTTGTCTGCCTGGGCACTCAGAACAGCTGGTTGGCAGGCAGCAGGCAGCAACGGGCACGCCCGCCCCCTCAGCTTTGGCCGCCTCTCAGGTAGTGGCTAGGTCACCTTGTGGTCCAGCTCCTGAAGGCAGCCCTGTGCCAGCTGCAGCTCGGGTGCCCCCACCCACTGCTCCTGAGTATCGCAGCCACTGCTGTCCCCAGAAGGCCCTGCAGCATCTCCAGAACCTGAGAAGCTCCCTGGATTAATGAAGCTGGGTGTAGTGGCCCATGCCTTTTATTCCAGCACTGGAGAGGCTGAGGCAGGAAGATTGCTGTGAGTTTGAGGCCAGCCTGGGCTACAAAGTGAGCTCAAGGCAGCCTGAACTGCACAGTGAAACCTTGTCTCAAAAAGACAAAAATAAATTAATTAATAAATTAATTAAAATTAAAATTAAAACAAAACTCCCTCTGTGAAAATCCTTGGGCTGAGCTTCAGTTTCCTGGCCAGGCTTAATGCATGGTGGCACCAGCATTCAAGAGGCTGAGGCAAGAGGGTCACTTACAGTTCAAGGACAGCCTGAGGAAGCTCAGGACCAGCAGGCCTTCGAGGACAGGAAGTCAGCAAGGGCAGCTTGTCCCAAGCTACCATGCAGTGCTGTGACTGACCCGGCTCTCTGTCCACAGCTGATGTCTTGAAGCCTACAGAAGCCCCGTTACTCCCCCGGGCCACTGAGGTCACCTCGCCCTGGTGTGGATCCCAGAGCAGCCTCTGCCTCTAAATTCTGCAAGTCACCATCCATCTGTCCCCACCCCAGTGTCCCTGGACTGGAGTTGCAGCCTCAGAACCCTGAGCCATCTCTGGGACAACCCCTTCCCAGGGCTTTGCCTCTGAAGCCTGCTGTTCCTGAGGATGATCTCGGGGCGCCCTGCCTAGCATGTGCTGAGCTCAAGGGTGCTGGGGACATAGGGTGGGCTGGGCAGGAAGGGGAGCAGGGCTACAGCTCCGGGACATCTGGGCTGGGGGAAGGAGTGAAATATTCCTGTGGGTGGTAATGGGAGGGGACCTGGCTGGGGATGGCCGGGGGTGGGGACACCTCCATGCACAGATGGGACATGGCGGGAGAGGATGGACATTTGTGTCTACCTCCCTAGTGCCGAGGTCACAGAGGTCACAAGCTCCAGCAGGCAGCAGTCATGAAGCCCCCAGAAAGGGTCAGGGTGACCAGGTGAGCCCCAGGAGTCACCCCCTTTACAGAGGAGAAAACTGAGGGTTGGGGCTTAAAACCCAGCCAGATCCTACAGCTGGGCCAGATCCCTGGCTGTGGATCTGGAGCTGCTTTGGTGCCACAACAGCCTGCTTTGAGAGTGGCCACTTTTGACTGTCCTTATAGGGACAGCAGCAGAGACCCTGTGTCCTCAACATCCTGGGTTCTGCAACACTTCCACCTCTGTTCTCCTTTCCTGCCCCAGTGTGGGTGGGGTGCAACCAGTCTGAACCCAGGCTGGGCTGGGTCTCCCTATGTTGTCTCCCTATGAAGCCCCTGCACTTCCTTTCTGTAGAACTCATTCACTCACTCATTCAATCATGACTCATTCATTCAGTTCCTGATCCATTCACTCTCCTATTCATTCACTTGCTCACTCATTCATTCATTCACTCAAGTGGTCACTAATTCAGTCATTCATTCACTCACTGCTTCATTCACTATGCACTCATTCATTCACTCACTCACTCACTCACTCACTCACTCACTCACTCACTCACTCACAAAATACTCACTGAGTACTTGCCACTGGCCAGCTGCCGGGGATAGAGCACAGTGTCCCCGAGTCACAAGCCAGACTCAACAATGCAGGACTTCACCTAAATACACTTACTGCCTCTTAGGGTGGCTTCTCACTTGATGACTTTATTATTCTCCCAAGTTCTGACATTTGTCCTTCCTACCAGGCTCTTGCTCTGTGAGAACAGACTATTTGCCTGTTTTATCAGTCAGGGTTTAACTAGAGGAACAGACAGATACATTGCAAGGAACAGAGAGATCACAAGATGTACAAATGTACTGCGGAGCTAATTTAGCTAAGCCTTTAACTTCTCAAGTTGACACAATGTAGCACCACTGCACCCTCTTGTCCCCAGCTATTCCAGTGCCTAGAGCCGCCCACACAGGAGGTGCTCAGTGCCCTCTAGGAAGAGATGGGATGGGGGTGAATGCTCTTCAGGCTACAGTGTGAGTGGGGCTCCTGCCCAGCAGAACTGTAGATGCATAGGTTTCCCCAGGGGCCCGGGGACGGGGAGCGGGGCTGATCCTTGGGAACAGATGCTGAGAACATCTTGGACCCCAGGAGACCCCAGTGGGTCTGAACAGGAAGGAAAATGTGCAGGCCACTCCTGCCCAGCACCAAGGGACAGCGGAGGGCACGACAACTCGGGGATGCTAGCCAGGGCGTAGATGTAGGCTTGGAGGCTCCTGCCTGGAGCTGATTCCAGGCCTGTATCCCGAGTCTCTGAGCATCAATCTTCCTGTCTGTAAAATGAAGAAACAGAAATGGGCAAATTCTGAGATGCCTGGCACAGTCCGTGGCGTACAGCAGCTCACTCAGAGAACAGCCGGGTTCTCAGCAGGGAGTGAAGGCTGGAGGGTAGGGGTGGGCGGGGCTCCCTGGCTCCTGCTTCTGTGGCTGTCAAATTCGCGGCTCATTGGGGACAGACTCAGTGGCTGTGGCAGAGACCCACGAGTACCAGGAGGAGACCCAGACTGCCGACTGGAGCAAGAGGATCCCAGGCAGCTGTAGGCCCCAAGGTCAAGGCCACTGGCGCTCCAGGTCGGCAGGGAGCTGCGTGGGCAGAGTTGAGGAAGATGGAGTGAGGGGTCCAGTGGGGGTAGTAACCTCCCTCCCTCCCTCCCTCCCTCTCTCTCTTCCTCCCTCTACTCTTCCCTCCCTCCCAGACCTGGCCTCTGCTGCCCTCCAGACCCCTAACAAACCCGTAAATCCCCAGCAGGACCGCAGGCGGGCGTGGCTGCACAAGTCCCAGTGGTGGCTGGGGGCGGCCTCTCCGGCTGGAGGGGACCAAGTCCAACACCCCATCGCTCATCACCAGGGCCTGCCACCCCCACCGGGCCACAGCCCATCCATCTTGGCTAGCCGGGGACTTTCAAGTGGAGCCCAGGCCCCTCTGCTTAGTGTTAAGATGAGCCCGGCTCACGCCAACTGTTCTTATTTATTTCTTGGGCGCTCCCCCTGCGACCATCACTCTGCGGGGCAGAATACCGCGTCCTCCCCCAACTTCCTCTCCCGCCCCCACCTGGCAGGGCAGGGAGGAGGCCAAGCCTGCGAAGGGACACAGTCATCACTGGGCTCTCTTGAAGGCTCTGTCACCATGGAAACTGAGGCCCAGCAAGGCACCCCGCCCGCCCATAATGTCCTGGCCGTGGGACTCTGGTGCAGGAAGAAGCCGTTCCCCGCAGACACATCTTTCGCGGGAGGCCTCTGAGGTCACTGCATCACTTCCTTGGATGCTCTTGGAGATCAAGCCCTGCCCACTGTCCTGGGCTCTACCAGAAGCCCCTGGGTGAGGCCCATCAAGGGTTCCCCACTCAGACTGGGAAGGAAACCAAGGGGTGGCTTTCGGGGGTATCAGAGACTGCAGTCTGGGTCACCCACCCCAGTTCACATTTGAAGACACAGCCCCCAGTGTGAAGGCAGTAGGAGGCGAGACCATGGAAGGGGACAGTTAGATGAGGTCTGGAGGGCTGAACTCCATCCCGGAATCAGCATCTTTACAGGCAAAGCGGAGCTGGGACTCCCAGCACCAAGGACAGCCCTGTTCCTCAGCTTCTGCCTGGCGAACCTGAAGCCCTAAAGGCAAGACCTGGAGCCCCACAGAAGACCAGGTGCAGGCAGACAGGGCCTCTGAGAAGGTGGGGGGGGACAGTCATTTGAGGTCCCCTTGTCTCGCCATGCAGGGGTCCCGCCAACATCCTGTACCTGTCCCTCGCCTGTCTGGGAGTTGAGAGAGAGGGGTTGGATGGTCGGTCTTCTGGCTGCAGCCTGGGGGCTGACCTCCCAGTGACTGGACAGGGGACAGATTTCTGTGTCCCTTTTCTTACCTGGAGCAGTGCAGCTCCTACCACTCAGAGCCAAGAGAGGCTCTCAAGGCTGCCTCTTTTCCAAATGAGGCATTGAGAAGGAAAGGGACCCACCCAGGGCCACACAGGAGATGCTCCGCAGTGCCAGGGAGCAGCAGGCTGCCTGACCCCTGCAGGGGTCACCGTGCCACCAGGCTGTGGGCCACGGAGACTGGCTGGTCAGTGACTGAAGAACAGGAAGCCTCAGCCCTTCACTCCCTCCAGACCCCTAAGCTGTGCCCTGGCCAGGTCCTGGGGCGTCAGGCATCTCAACCCTTCCCTGTCCCCTCAGAAAGCAGGTAGGACCCTCCCTGCCACACCCAAGTTGTGTGGGGTTAAACAGCCACTCAGGGCTTGGCCTGGCCTCAGCTCGGTGGTGCTTCAGGGCTGCCGTAGTTCTTTCTTCTCCCCCCAACCCTTTTCTTAAAGAAACACATGTCACTTGCTATAACTCACGTGCTTATTATAATCATGACCATATGCTTAATGGGATGTAATCAAACCGCTGCTAACCTGGGCCTGCTTGCGAACCCCCCACCCCAGATGCCCCCAGATGTGTTCATAGCAGCCCTGACCCTGGGAAGGCTGGGGGCACAGCCGCTCACTTTGTGTTCGTTTCTCTGTCCATCTTTCCACCCATTCACTCCTTTTAATTTTTGGTTTCATGAGACAGGGTCTCACTGTGTAGTTCAAAGCCTGGTCTTGAACTCCCTGCGATCCTCCTGCCTCAGCCTCCTGAGCAATGGAGTTATCGTGGGTCTGCCCCACTGTGCCTAGCTCCATCTATCCACCTTACTGGGTGCCTGCTGTGTTCCAGGCAGCAGGAATGGTGCAGGCAGACGACACCTCTGTGCTGGCGGGCAAGGTAGATGGCAGACATCTGGGGAATTAAGCAGGGTATGCCAGCTCGTTAACTCGGAGTCCAAAGTACCAAAGTACAGGAAGACCATGGCAGGGTTGCTGCCCTTGGGTGATGGGCTGTGTCCGTGCTTGGCCACCCATGAACCCCAAGAGCAAAAATGGGAATGAGTGAATGGACCACGGATGGAGATCAGAAAACAGAAGATGCTGCTGCCCAAGTATCTGCTACAGGAGGACCCACAGAGGCAGGGGCAGAAACTCCCAGGCCCTCCACTCCCTTTTATTTCTCAATCATGAAAGTAAGAGATTCCATTTTCTGGTGTTGTTTTATACCCAAAATGATAGCCGAGAAGGTGGTGCGTGAGTGGAATTTAGAGAGAACCATCGGTACAGCAGGGCATGCTGAGTGATTTCATTGCAAGTGAGGGAGGCCCAGTCAAGGTGGGGAGCCCTTGCCTGGGCCCACTTTGCTGACCCCCTGAGAGACAGACAGACAGACAGACAGACAGACAGACAGACAGAGACAGAGAGACAGAGACAGAGACAGAGAGGCAGACAGAGAGACCAAGGGAGAGACAGAGACAGAGGGAGAAAGACATAGACACAGAGACAGAGGGAGAGAAACAGAGAGATGGAGAGATAGAGACAGAGAGACAGATGGAAAGAGAAAGAGACAGATGGAGAAGGGGACAAAGAGCTTCCTTCTCTCGCAGGACTCCCCCCAGTGACCACATTTGACCTTGATGACTTCCTAAAAGCCCCACTACAAGCACAGTCACACTGGCCCTGGCTTCCATGTGGGGTATGGGGAGCTGTAGCCCCACTCTGAGGTCAGGAAAGTGAGGCACAGAAGGGAGATGGTGCCTGGGTGGTGAGGTGCCCATCCACTCCTGCCCACCCTTCTGGCCTGCTCTCTCCTTCTGGATTGTCCCTAATATCTCCTGCGGTCTGAACCTTAGTAACTTCCTGTCTCCCTCAGAATTTATCTGAAGTCCCGCTCACAGCCCCTGTCCTGTCTGCACTCCTGTCCCCCGTCACCTGCCACCCGAACCTTCTCCTCCTTGTGTGGACGCCACCCGCATCAACCCCAGGGCCTTGGCACCCACTGCCATCTCTCCCTGGTGTGCTCCCTCCCTCTGTCCTCACCTAGGGATGCCTCTGAAGAGAAATCTCCCTGACCCCACGACTGAAAACAGCTCCCCCTTTTTTGTCTCCATTCGTTGTAGGATGTGCTTTTCCACAGCAAGCATCACAGTGTGACATCGCGTTTGCTTGCTTGTTCACTTGTAACGTCAGCACCCTTGTGCTGAAGTGCAAGCACAAAGAGGGAGGAGGATTTGTGGCCCATGAAGTTCCTGGACCTAGTAGGTGCTCATGAAATGTGCGTACGGCTAAAAGGCAGGCTTGCCACTTAATAAGTGAAGGGAAGGATTTGTGTGGAGGGAGGGAGAGAGGAAGGCAGGGGCCAGACCACAGGGATCGGGGCTTGGGAAGAAGTTTCCTTTATTGCAGCAGGGAGCTAAGGAACAGTTTAACATGACTTGGTTTATGTTTAGACAGTAGCTACTCTTAATGTACTAGGGGACCATAAGTGCATAGGTTTTTGTTGTTGTTTGTTTGTTTTTGACTCTAGAACTGGGGAAAATCCAATCCTATAGGAGATCCGGCCTTAAGATTGGGAAGATCCAATCTTACAGGATTAGGGGGAAATCAGTCATTCCCACCTCCCCCCATGATCCCTGAACCCCCTGCATCCCTCAGATGGATTGTGGTTAGAAAATACCATGCATAGAGTACACACAAGGCAGGAGGGGTGAGCGCCTGGCTGCCTGTACGCCCTTGGCGCATTTTATATCTGTTCCCTGCGTGTCTTCTCCGCTCCCGAGTGTGTGAGAAGACAGCCCGGCTGTGATTTATGCCACAGACAGAGAGGTAATGAATTGGAGACATAAAAGCTAAGCACGGTCCCCCGGGGTTGACAGGCTCTGGACAGGGCCTTGGAGGGTGCCCGTGGCAGAGCTGACAGCCGGTGTCCGTGACCGATGCGGCTCTGGCTGCTGAGCGGGGGCCCAGGCACTTGGGGATGGTGAGTGGAAGAGCTGGTGGGGCTCAGGAGGCTGGAAAACACTGGGCTGGTAGGGGGAGGAGCTTAAGGCAGGTCTGAGCAGGGGTTCCCAGCATGTGCAGGCCCTGCAAGGCCCCCAGCAGTGGGAGGACCAGCCCGAGCTGGAGCCACAGACAGAGAATGCCAAAATGAAGGAAATGACTTCAGCAGGATGGAAAGATGGAAGACAGAGTGATGGCCTTGTTCACAGCCAGCAGAGCCCTCCCCAGCCATGCACAGGGTGCTGCCGTCCAAGCAGGACACACCAGGGAAGAGGGGCAGGACAGCCTTCCACTGATGCGCAAGCTGGACAGGTTGTAGCTCAGTGCACAGGCCCTGGGTTCAATCCCCAGTACTGGAGAGAGAGAGAGAGAGAGAGAGAGAGAGAGAGAGAGAGAGAGAGGGGAGGGGAAGGGAAGGGAGAGAGAGGACAGGAGAGGAGACGACAAGAGGACATTAGAAGAGAGGACAGGAGAGGAGAGGAGAGGAGAGGAGAGGAGAGGAGAGAGGCTGATGTGTTAAAATGAAAATGTTGGTGTGCTACGGCCTGAATCCAGCTCCCAGCACTGTTTGTGACATCAAACGTGAGGGCCACACAGGTCTCATCCCCACTACAATGCGGTGCATAACAGCCGTCTCTTGGCAGCTTGTTGGAGACAGGTGCTGAGCTAGGGATGCAGAGGGGACAAACATGAGCCTGTCTCAGTCACTTTTTCCTCATTGCTGGGACAAAAGACCTGACACCCAAAACTAAGGAAGGAAAGGTTTATTTAGCTCACAGTTAGTGGAGGATTCAGTCCATTCCTGGCTGGCTCCAAGGCAGAAGGGCACATGGCAGAGGGCAGCATTCATGGCGGCAGAAAACAGCAAAGAGCAAAGGGAGGAGCAGCAGCTGCGGCAGCAAGCGAGCCTCTCTCCCTTCCTTATATTGTGTGCAGTTTACTTACCTCCGGGCAGGTGTAGCACTCACACTCATAATCCCAACATTGGATCATGAATTAACCACAAACTCTAGGAGCCACCTTAATGACTGCACTAGGCTTTGGGGGGACATCTAGACACAAACCATAACAGGGCCCAGTGTTCAAATGCTGACTGGACAGACCCTGGGCACTAAGGTTTGGAGGCCCGAGTGTCAGTGGCCATGGCATCTGAGGGGCCTGGCAAGACCTAAGAAGCAGGGAACGTTGGCAGAGTCATCGGGAGACAGGGATTGTGTGAGGCCCTCATGCAACCCACCTGAAAGGCACCAGCCAGCACCCCTGGGCCCAGCACATGACCGCAACTGTCCCTGGGACCCTTAGTCAGTGGTACTTGTTTCCCTGCTACTTTCAGCAAGCCAGTGAGAGACTAACACTGGCTACTCTACCCTGTGTGCATGAGGGGCCAATCTCATGGAAAATGGTTTTGGGCGTAGAGTCTCTCACGAGATGCACAGTGGGGGTCCTGCGCCTGCACAGATCGCAGGGGGCCCGATCTCCTACTTTATCAATCTGGATGGTGCTCCAGGCCAAGGGCAAGAGATGTCCTGCAGCCCAGAACTGATGAGACCTCTGCGGCCAGCTCTGTCTCCCACTGGGAAGGAGGGATTCCAGATGTCTAGGGGGTCTGGCTGCCAACAGGAGAGCCAAGGGGTGGGTGCAAAGTATTCTGGTTTCACCACGGCCTTTCTCAGAAGGAGAGACTAAGGCAGGCCCAGAGTGGGAACCACATGCCCCATGTCTCTGGATCTGGAAGAATCCACAGAGGGGTCTCCTGACTTCGGGTCCCTGCATCCCCTGCTTTCTTCCAGCCTTGCAGAACCTCCACTCCACCCGGCTCCTGCTCTCTTTCCTTCTCACTCCTCCCTCAACCTTCCTGTCTTCTTCCCTCCCCCACCTGGCTTCTGGGAGTCCAGGTCTGGCCCTGCCCCTGCAGCTGGGCAGCAGTACATCTTGAAGCCAGGGGACCTCCTTAAGGAGTGCTGAGTCTCATCACACCATGGGCAGCCCACACGACGGGGTCCCCACGCCCCTTGGGCCCCCACTGCCTCTCAGATGTCCCAGCCTACACTGGCACAAGGCAGGGGTGTGGGGACAGTGGGGGAGGCTAAACTTACCCCCTACACCAGCTCTCCCTGGGCACCCACGCATGCCAGAAGCAGAAGCCGTTGGCTGTCATGATCCATGCCTGGCCCCGAGGAGCCAGTGCCCTGCTGGACTTACCATGACATGAGTGATAAATCACAACTGTGACAACTGTCTCCCATGAAATGCAGAGTGCTGTCTTCCACCTCTGTTGCAGTGTTTGATCGGGTAAGAGAGAAGATGGCGTGTGCAAAGGCCCCACGGCAGGAAGGCGTACACCTTGGCCGGTGGGCAGGAAATGGCAAGGAAGAGGCGGGGTAAGAGCCTGCACTCTGAGGGGCCCGCTCGTGGACTCGGGACTCCATCATTTTTTATCTGGAAAGCCACTGGAGCTTCCCAGCAGACACCAACGACTTTCAGGCTGATGTCAGATCTCCAGCAGCGATGGACCACACCATGGGTCAGCACCTGTGGTCTGGGGGACGGGCGCCGTGGGGGCAAGCAATGAGCTTGCTGTCAGAGGTGGGGTTGGGTGGTGGCAGCAGTGGGGTGTGGGCGGGCTTGTCTAGATGTGACCTTGCTTCCTTGCAGGCAGCTGACAGGGCTGCTGGTCTCCAACCCCGTGTTTAGTCTCTTCCTCTTGTTGAGCACATTGCCCCCGGGTTCTAGGCTGGGTGCACAGCCACCTGGAGCACAGAACACATTTCCCAGCATTCCTGTCAGCAAGCGATGAGCAGAGATGCTGTCCTCAACTACTCGCTTTGCTCCAGAAGGGAGAACGGCTGCATTTCCTTTTCTCCTTTAGATAACAGAACGATGTCCAGAGCTTGAGCAGCCATCTTGGACCACGCAGAATCAGCCACATGCTGTGGCTGTGGACTAGGTACAACCAATGCTGGGACATCTGACTCCTGGCTGCTGGCACTCTCTTTCTCATTTCGTGCAGCTGAGTGGCTTTTCTGTCCCTCTGTTGCTCCACACTTATGTACCTTGCTGTTCCTGTTGCCTGAAGTGTGCTCCTCTATGTCTTCCCATTTGGCTCAACTTGAGCATCCCCCGGGGAGAAGCCATCCCTGCCCGCTCCCGCGCGCAGGCCCTACCTGGACATTCTCTCCTAGCCTGCCAGTGCCTTTCCTTTCTGCACACAGGCCCTTCTCTCCTGCCTCTCAGGAGTGTGTGTTGGGTATTTGGCTGCCTGCTCCTGCCAGGCCACAGCTCTATGGGTGGAGAGCCTTGTGTTTCCTTTCTTTCTTTCTTTCTTTCTTTTTTTTTTTTTTTTTTTTTTTTTTTTTTTTGCGGTACCGGGTTGAACTCAGGACCCTGCACTTGCCAGGCAAGCGCTTATTCTACTGAGCCATCTCCCCAGCCCAAGCCCTGTGTTTTCATCTCCCAAGACAAACAGACACTGACCCGATGCTACAAGCTTGAGCCACAGTTGGGGACTAATTTGGTGTGAGATGTAGAGCCACCTTCTGCTTTTGCCAAGACAGTGAAAGCTGGCAATGACACATGCTTGTGCAAGGTCACCTGTCAGGTGAAGGCAGCTTTGGGCTGCGGGGCTAGGGCTCCCGGCCCAGCCCAGCCCTGTCCCCTGCCCCATCTCACCAGGAGCTGCAGCAGAGCCACCCGGAGCTCTGTGTTGGTCCTGCAGGATGAGAACCTGTGACCCTCTACCACCCTCTGGACTTACCTCGCTCTGGTTGTCACAGGACACTACTGAGGGCAGATCTGCGGTTCTCTGGGGTCCCCTCCTTCACCTGGGCCCACATCATCCTGAGTGTCCTGCCGGAGAGGGGGAAGGGAAGGCAGTCGCCACATCTGGAAGTAAGAGCCTAAAGCCCAGCTTGGTGCTGAGAGCACTTTATTGACAGGAGATGAAAGTCCCCGTGGCAGTAACTCTCTGCACGCCCGTTTGCACTGTTTTATGAGGTGCGATGCACTCCAGTCCTGTGTGATAAGCCGACCTGGTCTCTGCCAGCCCAGCCCTCCCCAACCCCTACAGCCCCTCTCCTGGGCCTGGGTCACACTGAGCCTGCAGTCCTGTCCTCGGTGGAGGGGTGAGGCACCTGCTGCGCCAGAAAGCCTCCTTCCTAGGCCTCCTGCTCCAGCCTTGCCCCATCAACGGGCCTCACAGCAGCCAGAAAGACCCCAAGGTGTCCTCTGCTCTGGCCTGTGGTCAGAGGTCTAGGGAGAAAGGCTACCTGGGGTATGAGGTAAGTAGAGGCAATGGCAGGAAGAGGGAGTGACAGGAGCAGAAGAGGAGGCTGGGGCCCAGGGCTGCGCTGGTGGGAGGAAGCTGAGGCTCAGTCCCAGACCTACTGGGAAAGACCCAGCCCCTTGGGGCAGCAGTTTATTCTGTGGCCATTGTCTGTCACTGGCAAGATGCCTGAGGCACACCCCCTGAGAGAGGATGGACTTGGCTCACGGCTGCAGAGGGCCTGGTTCATGGTAGATTGCTCTGAAGAAGAAGCCTCCTGCCAGATGGGCACAGTTAGGTGGAGCTGTGCAGGTCATGATGGCTGGAATGCAGAGAGAGGCAAAGAGCCCAAGAGGAAGGAGCCAAGAGCCTTGCAAGTCTGTCTCTGACTCAAACTGACCCTCCTGCTCCTCGCACTTGTGAGACAGTTGTCCCCCTCGACCTCCTGACTGCACTGAACTGGTTGGCCCCTCCACGCTGCACGCGGCTTTGCTCAGCTCAGAGCATGTCACCCGAATCCACACACTGAGGCCCCACCCTGGTGCAGTGGCCAGGGTCCTCTCACTCACCTGTGAGGCTGCAGCAGGAAGGTGTCAACCACAAGATGAGGTGTGGGTCTCTGTAGACACCAGGCCTGTGAGGACTGGATCGTGGGCGTCATCGTCTGGGCTCCAGAGATGCAAGACACGGATGGCCATTGTCTAGGGTTCTGGTGTGTGGCCCACTTGTCACAGCAGCCCCGGCTGGTGAGGACAGACCCTCATTCTGCCCTGTCAGTGGCCAGGACAGGCCCGGGGGAGGACAGGGTTTGGGGCATTGCTCTGCTGTCTGCCCAGGTCACAGGGTGTGCGTTTGCGCTGTCTCTGTCTCTGTCTCTGTCTCTGTCTCTGTCTCTGTCTCTGTCTGTCTGTCTGTCTCTCTCTCTCTCTCTCTCTCTCTCTCTCTCTCTCTCTCTGTTCCTGTCTCTCTGTGAAGGGTTGTGCATTAAGGGGAGTGTGGGGGTGTACGCAGAGCTGAACTTTCTGGTGGGAACCAATTAATGTGAAGCTGAATGCCAAGTTTTATAGGCTGTAAACTTGGGTGTGCAAACAGATATAACTTTTCAAAGTTTCCATGATGCTGCTTGCGGTCTCTGTGGGTCCCCTTTGTGCGGGTGCCACAGCACAGTCACTGGGCCCCGTGCAGAGGCAGAGGCGGTAGAGTTCCGGTGCAGGCAGCTGCACATCTATCTCCTCCTCCTGTTGTGGGCAGAGTGGGACCCTGTCTGCTCTTCCTTAGTGGCTGTGACACCCTGGGGACAACAGCAGAGCGCCTCCCAGCTAAAGCCACCTTCACTGCAGGTAGAGGTGGGCAGTGGCAAATGCTAGGGAGCTTTTAGGGGAACAGCCAGATGGGGCTATGACGTCAGTTCCAGACACTTGACTGGCAGCGCTGGCTGAGTTCGCATCCCCAGAGAGCTTTCTGTAAACCTGGACGGGAAAGTTTCCCTGTACTTCTGAAGGTGTGGGGGGCTGAGCAGAGGCAGAAACTTGGGGCTCCCACTCTCAGTGCCAGGCGCCTCGTGAGGCTGGGTGTGGTCAATGTGGGGGCCACTGAAGAGACGGATGAGCTGTGTTGGCGGTTCTGTCACCTGTGTCGGGACTGGTCACAGCCAGATTGTTTGCAAAGGGTTACAACTTTTCTTAACCTTATTGACTGAGCAGTGTTACTTATGAACAGTTTTTAATTGATATTTTTGTTTGAGCCCCAGAGGTGGTATAAAGTCAAAGCCATGGAAATGTGTCCCTGTACGGACATGTCCACATCAGCCAGGACTCAGAGATGCCCCCAGCTGTCCCTCCCATTCCTATGAGCAACAACCATTGCTTTGGGGTAGGGGAAGCTGGTGAACTGGGGTGACTCTGATTTGGCTCTGCTGTTTTGTGGTCTTGGTGGTGCTATTCCACCTGCCAGCCTCAGTTTCTCCTCTGACCCATTGTCTTGGTTACTTTTCTCTCATTGGGACAAAATACCTGGCACCCAAAATTAAGGAAGAAAAGGTTGATTTATTCACTGTTTGTGGAGGTTTCAGTCCATACGCAGCTGGCTCCAAGGCAGGGTGGCACATGGCAGAAGGCAGCAGGGGCAAAAAGGGAGGAGAAGCGGCTGCAGCGGAGAGCAGGCCTCTTTCCTTCCTTACACTGCATCCAGGCTACCCGTGGGTGTAGCACTCACAGCCGTAATCCCAGCAGCACTCACACCCATAATCTCAGCATTGGATCATGAATTGATCACAAATTCTAGAAACTTCCCCATGACTGCATGAGGCTTTGGGGGGCCCCAGACACAAAGCATGACACCAGTGGAGATCCCTGGAGCCTGTGCTTGAGAGCACACCTGTTTCATTTGGATGGTGGCTCTGCACCAGTCCATTTCACAGATGGGAAAAACGAGACCCTGGCCCCCACATCAGAGGCTCAGCTAACACTGGACCATGAGGACTGGGTCAGTGTTAGGTCTTCACACCCAAACTTCTAAACCCTTCTCTCAGCAGCTCCTTTCCTGTTTCCCTCCTCTCTCCTCCTGCTCCCCATCACAGCAGTGCCAGCTGGTGTCCCTGCCTTTCTGGTTCCTTGCATGTGGTAAACCTGCAAAGACTTGAAGAGAGGGTCAAGGCACAGCACGTTCAAAGGCCCAGAGGTTGAAGGAGATTGGCAGGCTGTGTTCTGCCTCGGAGGCTGGTGTGGGCAGTGGGAAGGTGGCGGGGGACAAAGAGCCAAGGAAGGGCTGTGTCTTCCTGGGCTGGTGGGTCACAGTGACCTTTTATGTCATCCCACGCAGGATGATTGCACGGCCTGAATGGGAATTTTCATAATGCAAGTGGGGGAGGAGGTCCGGATGGAGGTGGAGGATCTGGTTGGTTGGCAGTGTGTTCCTCCACCCACCCAGGGTTCATGCCCTTGAAATTCACAGTCTCACCATTCTGGAGGCCATGGGTTCAAGATGCAGGTGTTGGCAGGTTGGTTCCTCCTGAGGCTGGAGGGAGACTGGTCCCATATCCTTCCCGGCTCCCACTGCTGAGCTGACCGTCTCTGGACTTCCTCGGCTTCTACAGGCATCGCCCTGACCTCTGCCTTCATCTCTGTCTGGTTTGAGGGTGGGGTGGGTCGGGTCTCCCTGTGCTGTCCACGTCCAGGATCACCTGGCTCCCTGCCTCTCCCGCCTCCACCACGCGTCCTGTGATACCCTCCCTGTGTGCACACCTCTGCCTGAATGTTCCCTCCTAACAGGCACATCTGCGACGCTAGAGTTGGGGCACTCTGCTCCAGTCTGACCTCCCCTGAACTGATCACATCTGCAACGATCTTATTCCTGAGTAAGGTCCCACCCAGCCTGTGGTCCTGGGGTGCTACCTAGGACTTCACCCTAGGTCCACACATGAGAGAGGCTACTGCCACTGTGAGTGAGCCAAAAGGTGCTTGGAGGAGGGCAAGCTGGGTGCAGGCGGGCAGCAGACCGAAGCCAGACCTTGGTGATGGGTTGGCTCTAGGGTTGTGGCGAGTTGGAGGAGCTCTTTGGCCTCAGATTCCTGCTGGAAGGACTGGGGGTGCAGGATGGGGGCTGGGAAGTGGCTCGGAGTGAGAACCGGGAGTGCAGCTTTGCAGCCGGCCGGCCGAGGGGGACACATATGGCATCTGCCCCCGCCTACCTCGCCGCGCACCTTGTCCTGGCTGCAGGAAGCCGGCCCTAATGAGAGGCAGCTGCGCCGGGCGGCCGGCTCACATTTGTTCTGCTTTCAGCTTCAAAGCGCCGAGAAGTGGCTGTCCAGCCCCGAAGGCCATGGCCATCCATCTTGCGGGCTGCAACGCCAAGAAGCGGGGTCCCCATGGCCAATGCCTGCGCTCCCCTGGGTCAGGAGCTCCTCGCCCTTCCAGCAGAATTTCCTGGCTGTGGCCTCGGATGCTTCCCCCGCTCCCCCGCTCCCCCCCCAGGCTGCCCTGGGCCTGCTTCCCTCCCACACCTGGGTGGGGGAGATGAAAGGGCAGCTCCAGGCCCCACCGCCCATGCCCAGGCCGACCCTGACACAGGTCAAATTTGACTTCACAGTGGACCAGGGAGCCGTTTAGCAAGACGGTAAAAGAATAAGCTATGGCCTTGTCTTACCCAGGCTTCCAAACAGCTGACCTGCAAAACTGAGAGGAAAGGACACCCAGCTTATAGGGGGAGCGGGGAGCGACCCAGGTGCTTCTCAGGAGCTGAATTCTTGATGAGTTGTCACTAGTACTATTATTATCCCTATTTACGGGGTATTCTGCCACATTAAAACACTTAACTTTGGTTTTCTGAGACTGCGTCTTGCTGCATAGCTCAGGCTGGCCTTGAACTTGCAGTAATCCTCCTGCCTCAGCCTCCCGACTGTTGGGATTACAGGTGTGTGCCGTTACTGACAACCATATTAAAATTTTGTATGTAAAATAGTTATGCTAACAAACCAAAGACCCAAGTTTTCCACACTGGTCTGCTGACATTAGCAGGTTAGTGGTTATGGTGCATCACTGCGCGACATGAGCAGAGAATGTGCTTCTCGTACCCAGGCCCTTGCTGGTGGCGGGAGAGCCCATACGGCAGGCAACATTTTGCTCACTATGTGACTTTCAACAAATGACTACCTGTCTGGGCTCGCGGTTTGGGGCAGGCTGCACACACCCCTGAGTGCAGTATTTGAGGTGGTGCTGCAGTCCCCCTAATCCTCACCTGAGGGCAGACGGGGCCTGAAGCACATGAGATGGAAAACCCCAGAGATTTTGAGACAGTGGAGTTTGATGGTGTCCTCAGTAGCACAATAAAATCATAGTCATTCTCCGAGGGGACACAAGCAGGTGACTCAGCACCCGATTTATTAGTTTCCATGTCCTCTCTGGTGTCGTGGGACCTGCCCTAGCTGTGCTGCTACAGGGTCCCTGGGTGCAGCTGAGCCTGCTAGTCCACGACGCTTCTTCCCTGAGGCTGCAGCCTGGGCCAGAGCTGCCGACTCCACACTGTGCTCACGCCTGGCCAGGTCCTGCAGAGCAGCCCGCTGACCTGGCGCCGCCCGAGGGAACACGGCAGGTCTAGCCAAAGCCGTCAGCCTGGCCCAGTCAGCGGAGTCCAGGGACAAGCGAGCTAGATGTGTGCCCGCTGCCGTGTGCCCCGGGTTTGTGATCGTCACGTGGCATCACTGTGCTGATAGATAGCGGACACAGATGTGAATGTGCGGTGCCGCGGCTGCTCCTGTTTAAGCAAACAGGAGTCTCCGAGGCTCCGGGTGCATCTGGGACCCAAAAACACGAAGTTTTGCCCTTTTCTGAGAATTATTCATCTATGAACCCATAAGCCTCAAAATCTGAAATATGGAAAATAACCTTTGCAGCTTTATTTTGTTGGAGGTAAAGAATAAAAATGTCAGGAACATGAATGATGTCAGCCAGAGAGTGAATGAAGTGGGCGGAGTGATCAGGACCTCTTCTAACTCAAAGCTTAGAGACTTCTTGGCCCCAGAATTATAAATTAGGCCCCTTTCCTGAGGCCCTGCTCTGCTGATTGTACAAATCTGATTCCAAAGCGTCTTAATATTGTGGTTCTAGCCAAATGCTGAGTAATTTTTCTTCGTTTTCTTTTTGCGGTGGCTTTTTTTTTTTTTTTTTGTATTTTAGGGAATGGTCTACCGGGTGTTCAGGGTCTGACTACTAAATTAGACTTGTAGTGATCTGCCTGTTTACAGCCTCCCAAGAGCTGGGATTACAGGCATGCACCACACCCAGTCTCAATTGCCATCTCAAAGCACCCCAGGGGTGGGGCTGGCACGGGAGACCCAAGAACTGAACCTCCAGCCCCTGCACCTGCTTGCAGGCACTTTAATCTGCTAAGCTATTTGGCTGGCCCTTCTATCACGTTTAAATGGCAATGAGATGTAGGGGAGATGCTGGCTATGTGGACCCAGCTCCCCTCTGCTCTCTGTCCTCACTTGCCTGCAGACTTCGTTGTGTGGAGGAGTCAATCAAAGGCTCCATTCTGTCTTCGTGACCGCTCAGCTCTGGGGACCACTGGTGATGGCTGAGCCATGCTGTCTGCTCTGCTGCGCTCTGCTACGCAACTCCTCCTCTGCGGGAGACGCTGCAGGACGATTCTCATTGTTCCTTCCTCAGCTCCTCTGGTCCCCAATCTTCCACATTTTCTCCTGTGCATCTGTGTCAATGCTCAGCTTGTGCCACCTGTCCTGCTCCACAGGAGTAATCATGTCCCTCCCCAGAGCACTGCCCTCTGGAGACCCTGTCCTCACTGCTGCCTAGATCAACCTGTGGGTGTCGGGGTTCGTATGTGTGGAGCTCTAGTTCTGGTGCAGCTTGCCCAGGGTTCCTGGCTCATCTACCTGGACACATCCCCCCGTCCCCATCATTAGAAGGGACACTATCTGTGGGCACAGCAGGGGGCCGAGGAAGGAGCAGCAGTGGCCAGTGGTGTGGGTCTGGCTGCCGGCCTGTGTGGCTTATTTCTCCCTCTGGCCATACCAGTGGCTCTGTGATTCTGCCCAAGCTCAGCTAATGATGGGCACTTAGGACACGGGGAGATTTGATATCCCAAGCCCGAGCCTCTGCCTCTGTCAGGGCACTCACCCCAGAGCTGCTTTTGAAAGGGGGAGTGTTTCTCACTGTGGACCAAATGGCCTAGCTCCAGAACATCAGAGGTTGGCATCTATATTTTGTATTTTAGGGAAGTGTCTATAGGGTGTTCAAGGTCTCACTACTAGATCTGACGAGTAGTGATCTGCCTGTTTACAGCCTCCCAAGAGCTGGGATTACAGGCATGTGCTACCACACCCAGTCTCAACTGCTGTCTCAGCGTGCCCTGGGGTTGGTGCCAGCACTGCAGGTCCCGGAATCGAACCCTTGACCCCTGTGCCTGCTTGCAGGTGCTTTATCCACTGAGCTATTTGGTTCGCCCAAAATTTAAGAAGGATTTTTTTTTTTTTAATTTTTAGCTACTTCACGCTGCCTGTAGGACAAGTCTTTTGCAGCTTCTGGAGCTGGGAATTGAACTGTGGTCTTATGCGCCTGACTGCATTTTCCCAAGCAGTGCTTTATACAACTGAGCTATGTGGCAAGGACCCGGCACCTATATTTTTCAATTGAGCCTAGCCATGAAATCTATGCAGAACTTTTCCCACCATGGAGAGCTCCCACCCCACGGGGCCTGTGGGGCTTCATGGCTTCTCACACTCCAGCCTGAACCGGCTGCCCAACTGTTTTCCTGCTTTCTCCTCTCAAGGAGCTGGCAGGTTTTCGTGTCACTTGACCTGTGTCAGCGTCAAATATGCTGCCTCTAGGATCTGACTAGGCCTACCGGGCATTGAATTTCTGTCACGGAAATGAAAAGTGGGGATGCAATACTTGGCCCTTTACTCTAGAAGGAATGTTCTGGAACGCCTTAGACCACTGGTGTAGGCCCTGGATCTTCCAGGACCAACTTCTACCCTATGGGCCACGGGTTGGCCCACGACTTCTACCATCTTTACGGCTTCTTGCTTATCTGGTGTGGCTAACAGGAGGTGCCAGCACAGCAAGTGGATGCAGTGCTGTGCGACACGTCCAGCTGGCCTGCAGTCTCTGGACTATTTTGTGATAGAAGTGGAAGAACGAACAGCCCTGTGTGGGACGTAAATGTACACTACTACTCCTCCCAAGTGAAGGCAAACCGTTCCTGATCTTGCTGTCCAAGATCTGGACAATCACAGTCACCAGGTCAGTGGTCCTGTATCATTTTCTGGAGACCATTTGGTTAGTTTCTAGCAAGGAAACCACATCTGGCGTAGAGCTACAGTAGGGCCTAATATGTGGCTGAGTTTGCAATAGCCTGTTGCTATTTTTCAGGATTTGTGTGGTTTTTATACAGGCCAGATTGGTGAATTAAATGAAAATATTATAGGCACTGTCATCTCTGGGTTCTTTAGAAGTTTCAAAGAGGCAATAATGGATGCTTTTCCTGTCCACTCTTAAGATATAATATTTTTTAATTTACTGGCTTGAATGGATGGAGAACAGCCTGATGGGTTGAGGAGAACAGCCTGATCTCTCTCTCTCTCTCTCTCTCTCTCTCTCTCTCTCTCTCTCTCTCTCTCTCTCTCCTCGCTCTAGCTCTCGCACTTGCTCTCACTCTCGCTCTTTTTCCGTAGATGTTTGTAGGCAAAATAATTATCTTCACGGTGGGAAGTCGGTACATAAACATAATACATTTTAATTTTTTTTGCTGGAGTTTTCAAAGCTTACCGTGGGATCTCACGCCACAGATTAAGGAACCAGTGTGACATCCCAGTCCCAATGACAAATGTGACTCAAGTGTGACCAGGCCCTATGAGCTCACATGGGCCCACTGGGCTCCCATCTGCCCCCTCCTCACAGAGGTCATGACGATTCCTTGGGTCCCTTTGCCTCCACATCGCTTACGCCCTGGGCGTGAGGGCCCTCCAGAGGTTTCAGAATATCTCCTTTACTCACCAGACAGCTACCCAAGCCAATGGTGACAGGCTCCTGTGTGGAGGACCCAGACAGCTCCTTACTCCCCACAAGGCCATGGCCTCACAGTGCAATTCCTCCTGGATGCTTAGTCCTCTCATCAGCCTGTGAGTTCTTGGTCTAGAACGTGACTCAGGATCACACGTAGGTCAAGGGATGGTGGCATTTTGTTGGAAATGATGACTCTAAGGTTTTTGATTCTTTATTTTTAATTCATTTTCCCTGTAGATTAAGAAACACCTTTTGTTGGTTGCCCACCCATCTTGAATCTTAGGGCTTTCTCTTTGAGACAGGGTCTCACTATGTAGTGCAGGCTGGCCTTGAATTCACTAGGCAGCTCAAACTCACAGAGGTCCTCCTACCTCAGCCTCCCCATCTTCTTTTAACCAATGCTGGGTGGCTAGTCGTCCTTCAGGATGGAGTTCCTTCCATCCTTGGCAGGCTCCGGTCATCCTGACCTGGATGTGGTTGTTAATTAACGCTAGATATGGCTCTGCTGGCCTGGAGGGGAATTGGGGGACCATCATAAGTGAGGCACCTATTGCCTTGAGGGCTTCTGTGTCACTTTAAGCTGTGGTCACTGCTGCCGCTTAGGCAGCTGAGAAGAGTCAAGGCAAGTTGTTAATGGAAGATTTTCAAACCAAATATCTCCAATCTCATATCTTGGGA